TTGCAAAGTCCCAGGGATAGTTTTGGATGTGGAGCGTCTAGAGGAACAGTAGCCTTGGTTAGTATGGGACCCGACAGTTGTCATATGTCCTGCCTATGACCCTTCTCCTGTAGGACTTTGCTATCTGGAAGGGCCCGTTATTTGGAGGTGGGGAGATGACACAGGTACCCTGCCTATGTGATCTGACACTACTCATTGGTGTAGATACTCAAGGTATCTGTAAGAACATTGTCTTACCGATGTGCTCACGAGTGGGGAGGACAGATATTTAGGAGCAAGTAGTAAGTCAGCAGTAGTGACGGTGAGGCACAAAGGAAAATAAGAAGACTGCCCATAGGAGAAGGCCATTTTTATGAAGACGACGCTTTCAGCCAGTGGCTTCAGATGCACTCATTACAAAGAAAATATTTTTGTCCTAGGCTGAATGAGGAACTGTTAGATTCTCTTGGTTTGTAAAGGTTGGCAGGGTGTCTCCACTCTGGTCTAATTTGTGTAAGAGTTTTCATAGACAAGTTAGTTACTTTGGGTGTGGAAGAGTCAGCTGTGGCCTCCTACCCAAGCCCAGCTTTCCCCATGGGAGAATATGAGCCTGTTAGGAAGTTGTGCTATCAGAGGGGTAAGCTGTTTGGAATGGACCGAGCTACTGAAATGCAAATACCCTGCCCATTCTCTTTAAGAGAGAAACAGCCTGCAAGTGAGTTTCCCTCATTTTAGCTGGGTAACTTCACACCTGGAGAGGAAGCCGGCTTGCTGGTGGGTTGCTTTTGTTCTGTTTTTCTCAGAAAGCTAGGGGGTTAGATAACTAGTCTGTATTAAATGTCATTTTGGTTTTCTCTCTCTCTTTTTTTTTTTACTTTGAAGCATTTGTTCAAAATTCTAAAAACCAAAACCGCTCAACATGGTGAGACTGTGCAGCTGTGAATGATTAATGATACGAAGTTTTAGAAAGTGTCTAACAGTAGAAAGATGCAGACAGCATGGAATGGCAACAGTGTTTCCAAGTGGAAATAGGTAATCAATACCTGCAAGCTTGGAAAAAGTGTTCTATTTCCTCCACTAATGACATGGGGGTTTGCAAAGCAAGGGTGTCTGGAGCATGAAGCTCCAAAGAAGAATTAATTTGAAAGCTGAAGTGGAAGATCAGTTTCAATTAAAATTGCACTTGAATGTGTATTGGATGGAGGTGTGGAAGCAGGCACGCAGTCAGCTAGAACCCTCAGATCGGAATGAACAAATCCCACCAGTATGAGCACTAATGATTTTTTTATAATCTCCTAAATTATATTTCACCCTTCTAATGTGGATGGTAAACACTCTGCTGACCTTAGTATTTTTATTATCATCATAATAATTGTTATTAGTGTAATAGTGGTGGTGTAGTAGGATAGTTGTTAAGTCTCCATTTCCACAATGATGTCTTGCTTTCATTATTCCTGGGTGTTGTATATTTAGCATTATTTTCCTAATGCATTGGTCATTACTTTATTCCAATAAGAGGTCTCTGTGCATTTTATTTGTTGATGTCCATATCAACAGCTCATGTTTTGAACATGCTGAACCTGAATACACATTTCTATTTAGTGTATCAGCAATTGCTTCACTCAGTTTTTTTTTCAATTTTTTTTTCAGGTTTGTTGTGTGTGTGTGTGTGTGTGTGTGTGTGTGTGTGTGTGTGATCTGAAAAAAAAATTGTGACGGTGGAAAGAGGCTAATTGGACTTATTTGTTCTGTCCCCTCCCCTTGGACTCCTCAGCTGTGTTGAGGATGAAAATCAAGTTTGGCTAAAATGTTTGCAGAAATATACTGCTTCTCTTTGTGACTCACGTTAGCCTTGGGGAACTTCAACAAGAGGTGCAGTGTTCTGTGTGAAAAGCCCTCGACATTGCCCTGCTCCACTGCAGTCTCGCCCTAAAGAAAATAGTAATGTTGACTTTTTCTAGAAAGTACTAAACGCTAACAAATGACTCAACAGTGCCCCAGGCTTACTACACCTTTTCCAATGTGTGAATGAGTTCTTTCTGATAGTCCTTTTTTTCTCTTACTGTTAGGGATAGCGTTTGGGAAAACGGCTCAGCACTGTAGCCAAGCTGAAGTATTTCCCGAGAGCGAGAATGTGAATCATTGTAAGGACTTACTGATTGCTCTCGCAGCTTTGGCAGATCCACTTCTGTGACAGAGAAGGTGTCTGTGGTTGTCCCTTCCTTTCCTGGAGCCATTGTTTGTGTCCCCTTTTGGCTGCAGGAGGCATGAGGGACTGTGGACTGATGGCCTGGGGTAGGGCTGATGCACACTGGGGCTCTTGCTGAGGAGCAGAGAGACTGGTCGTCTTCCTGAATCCTTCTCACGTCAGGTAGTTAATGCCTAGTCCACCTTCCCATCCAACTTTTTCTGTGCCATAGTTACATAGCTGAAAGCTAAAAATGCAAAAGTATATATGTGTGTGCGTGTGTGTGTGTGTGTGTGTGTGTGTGTGTGTGTGTGTTCTGTTGCGTGTGTGTGTGTGTGCATGTGTATGTGTGCATGTCCATGAGTGTTGTGGAACAGAATATTTGTTTATCTATGTAAAGATGTGCTGCATTTGTTTGTGTTGCAGAATGATTGTTTAACTGTGTAAAGATGTGTTGCTGTTTCATCTTGCCTTCTTAAGGCACCTGATTGGTCTAATAAAAAGCTGAATGACCGGTAACTAGGCAGGAGAGAGATAGGCAGTGTTGGTAGACAGAGAGAAAAAGGGAGCTGCCAGCCAGCCAGACACAGAGGAAGAAGCAGGATGGATGATACATAGATTTCTGTACAACTGCAGGAGAGGGGCCTTGGTGGGTTGGAGCCAAAGTGTCCCATGTTGAGTAAGAGACAGAGACATGCAGACAGTGTTCATGTGGAGAGTTTTATTAGTGGTGAGGGAGAGGGAGAGGGAGCCCAGAGCGAGTAAGAGAGAGAAGGTGGGCGGGGCCCACCTTTTATGAGGGGACTTTGTGTATGCACAGAGGGAGCATGCAGCAATGAGTGCATGATGTTGTCAGTATGCACATAGGGCCAAGTTATTGCCTGCGTATTGGCCAGGTACCCAAAGGGCGGGTCTGAATGCTAATGTGGATAAGGGGAGCGAGCCCTGGGGCAGCACATAAATTAATAGAAATGGATTGATTTAAGTTTAAAAAAAATACTAGCTAGAAACAAGCCTAAGCTAAGGCCAAGCATTCATAATTAATAATAAGTCTCTATGTCATGATTTGAGGACTGGCGGTCCAAAAAAGACAGCTACACATGAGTGAGTGTGTGTGTGTGTGTGTGTGTGTGTGTGTGTGTGTGTGTGTGTGTGTGTGTGTGTTTTACTGTACTGAGATGCCTGTGGCTTATTTTCTGAACTTGTTAGACTTCCTATTGGCCTGAAGTTAAAAGGGCTCCCTCTTCATCTTCTCAAGAGACATTGTATCTTTCTTGCTTTGCTATATCAACAAGATAAAAAGTGAGGCACAGCAGTAGAAAGCTCTGAGAGCATGTTCTCAACTGAACAGCCGTCGTTCACCTAGTGTTTCGTTTCCAGACTGGGCAGAGCAGCAAATACAGTGTGTTTCCTGGCCCTCTGCCTTCTTGGGACCCATCTGAGGTCTGTTGTGTGGTGGTTCTCCTTTATTAATGACATACATTTTCTTAGAAGTCTGTTATTCCGATCAGTGCTGAGTCTCAACAGTGATCTCCTTCCTTCCATGACTTATGAGACAGAGGCTTGGGAAAGAGACGCAGGCAAAACCTGTGGACAGCCGAGAGCCCCTCCTTGGTCAGTGAAGGCCTCCTCATCACTGATAATGATACTCATCCTGTCTTGATTTGCATTTAGTCTTGAGTTTGTTTGTTTGTTTTCTTTTTTTTTCTGTTTATAGGCTATTATGAACTAAGAAGAAAGTCATACTTGGGATATTATTCGCAGTACTAAAACATGCTTAATTAATTAATCCACTTTTTATGAATGAGCACTCTGCTTATTTTTAGGAAACTTATTTAGTTTTTAAAAAATGTGAACAACCCTTATGAGCCTTTTACATAGCTTCCTGGGTTGGACTAAAATGAAGCTTGTTATTTATTAAGTGGTGCAATATTATTTATTAAGCGGCACTGTTTACCATGCAAGAAAAGCACAAGGTACAACAAAACCCACTATAAGAGTTTCTTAAGGGAATAGAGAGGGGGTGTGCATAGGCCTATGGAATGACCGTGCAGGAGGAGAGGGAAGGAATAAGTGGAACCCACTTTTATAGTCATCCCCGTCCCCACCTCCCCTGCACATGCGCATATGGGCTTATGTAGCTATGATCACACAGTGTACGGATTACCTAGGACCTAAGGCCCTGGGATGACTAAGCACCTTGCCTGGCTACTGGACAGTACATGTGTGGTCATGTAGTGGGGGGTAGCAGGGGGAATGGCTAGGAATTCTAATGAAGCCAGCAAAGACCAAAACCATCTCAAGTTCTCTGAGATCAAGTTTCAGTACTGGGCTGTTCTGTGAATGGGGCATGTGAAAAGTATACTTTGGAAGATGTAGCAATCAGCTCAAGAGAGAAAAGGAGGGAGAGAGGGAGGGAGGGAGTGTGTGTGTGTGTGTGTGTGTGTGTGTGTGTGTGTGTGTGTGTAGAGCAGAGAGAGGTCCATATCAGGGTGTGTGTGCGTATGTGTGTGCTCGTATGCAGGGCAGAGATCCACATATTCTAGTGTTCCCCATCTTAGGTTTTGAGACAGATTTTTTTTGTTTCACCTTGAGCTCAATCTTTAGCTAGACTGACTGGACATTGAGCCCACCTATCGTCTAGTGTAAGGTTGCAAACCTGGACCTCCATGCCTGGTTTTACATGGATGTTGGGGATCTGAACTCAGGTCCTCATGCTTGCTCACAAGAACTTTACCCCCCGAGCCCCTCCTCAGCCCCCTTGGCTCCATGTCTTACTTGTTTAAGCCAGAGTTTTGGGCCCTGAGGATTGAAGTGTTGCTTTTCTCAACAGGTGCCTATGGTCCTGAGCACTGGGTCACATCCAGTGTCAGCTGTGGAGGCAACCATCAGTCGCCTATAGACATTTTAGACCACCATGCACGTGTTGGCGAAGAATACCAGGAGCTTCAACTTGATGGATTTGACAATGAGTCCTCTAACAAAACCTGGATGAAAAACACAGGGAAAACAGGTAGACTCTTTATTTATCTCTTTGTTTACCACCAACAAAAAACTATTTTGGGGTGTCTTTGGTATATGACTTTATTCTAGCTTGTTTCTCAAATAGTATCCACTGCTTTAGGGAACCTAAAGCATTCTTTGGTTTGACAACCAACCAATGTGTGACTTCAGACAAATATCTGATTAATCTGTGCCTCAGATTTTTACAAATAAATAAAATATGTACCATAAAATTATAAGAGTCTTAAAGGGTTGCAGTTGTCTAGTGAATTCATGTGTTAGGTTCATGGAATGGACTTGAGGAAGATACTCATTAAGTCTAAACACCTGATGTTGCATTCACTAACTACTGAGGGCATCATTTAAATTTAAGTTTTAGGGGCTGGAGAGATGGCTCAGAGGTTAAGAGCACTGGTTGCTCTTCCAGATGGTCCTGAGTTCAATTCCCAGCAACCACATGGTGGCTCACAATCATCTGTAATGAGATCTGGTGCCCTCTTCTGGTGTGCAGGTGTACATGCAGATAGAGCATCATATACATAAAATAAATAAATCTTAAAAAAAATTTAAGTTTTAATTGAAAATTATATAAAAGCTGGACATGGTGACATTTACCTTAACCCCAGCACAAGGGAGGCAGAGGCAGGCCAATCTTTGAGTTTGAGACCGGTTTGAGGTTGACAGAGTGAGTTCTAGAACAGCCAGGGATACACAGTAAGATCCCATCGCAGGGAAAAAAAAAATAAATAAAAAACAGACATTAAATGAGGTGAAACTGATCCCTCCACTGTAGTGAACAGGTCTTGAAGCTCAGCAGCCACATAGAGTTAGTGGCTACCATACTGAGTGCCTCAGATAGGGAAAATCCTGGGAGAATGCACTGTGCCAAGTGAACCAATGGAAATAGGTCCTGTCTTCCTTGACAACGTGCTTTGTTCAGAACTGTTCAGCTATCGGAGTGGCATGAACTGCCTCAGCCCTGTCTGTCACAGACCTGCTGTTTGAACCTCCTGCTCTTCTCCTGCGCACACTTGTCATCTGGGGGTCAGTGAATGGAGTAAGTCTCCTGGTTAATTACTCCAGTAAAACTAAGGGTTTCTGGATTGTTCGCAGAAGTCAGAGAATGTTATGCTGTGCCCTCATCTCTGACCTCACTGGAAACACTGGGGTGTGTATGATGTCACTGCTTACTATAGCCAAGGATTAAGTTCATATCTAAAGAGATTTTTATCATCTTACTACTTAACTGCTTATAACTTGAGTCCATTAAAATAAATGTCCTTACTCCCTCTCTCTCTTCCCCAGTCTCAGTGAATCCTTTGCAGCCAATCAAGTCACTCTTAGTAATGTGTGGACCCTGGTGACCTGAGGCGCTGTGTTGGGCTCAAATGAAATTCTCTGCCATGGCCATGTGTGTCAGTGGACCTCAGCCTCACATTTTCGTTAAACCTCCTTGGTTGCGTAGACAGCTTTAGGGATTTATTTCCTTTTGCAGAGCAGCATCTGTGTGAAGCCGCTTTTGGCTTTGACCTGGCCTGACTTGTTCACACAACTGTTTGCCACATACCCCTTACAGTGGTTCTTTCCCGTAAGGCCCTGTGTGCAGATCATCTTCTGCTCTTCATTAGTTACTTTCCTGGACCATGATAAGACTATACACAAGCCAGATTATAAAACAAAGAGGTTATTGGGGTTTTGATTCCAGAAGGAGTTCATCATGGCATCAGACAGGCATGGACAGGAATCTGAGAGGCCACATCCTCATCTGCAAGCATGAAGCAGAGGGCAAAGTAGGAGTTAGGTAAAGCTGTGCCTTCTTACATCCGGCCCTCAGTGACATGTTTCCTTCAGTGAGGCTGCATAACCTCCCCAGACAGCGGCACCAACTAGTATTCAAATACCTGAATCCATGGGAGACACTTCTCACTCAAACCACCACACGGCCAGGTAGCAGACAACCTTGTCCTGGGCCTAGATTTACCCATTTTTGTAGCTGTTCGAGGTAAACTGGTGACCCGCCAGTGTTACTTAATGATATCAGTACACTGGTATGTGTGTGTATGTGTGCATGCATGTGTTCATGCATGTGTTCATGCGTGTGTGTGTGTGTGTGTGTGTGTGTGTGTGTGTGTGTGTGTGTGTGTGTGATAGACAGACAGACAGACAGAGACACAGAGAGAGGTTGGTGGGGGTATCTGCCCCAGCATGTGTGTAGAGGAGAGCTCAGCGGACAACTTTTGGGTGTTCTTTTTCTCTACTCTGAACTTTGACCAGCTGAGCCATGTCACACCCCGCAGCAATGCTGTTTCCAAATGCCTTTCCATCTCCTGTCCCCTCCCCTCCTTCAGCACAGATCATGGCCTTACTGTTACAGTCCACTCCCGGGAAGTGGTCAAGTTTTGTAGATCAAATGTTAGTGTCCTTGGAAAACTGCGAAGCCATCTGAGTACAGCGGGTGATAGCTTCGTCACGCTCAGGGTAACCTTGAGGGCCTCGCTCTAGAAGCCAGCCGGAAGCAGCGCACTGGGTGCCCTGCTGCGGTTTTCTACTTGACTTGGCGGTGCTTGACAGCCTTCTGCAGAGATAACATGTTTCAGTGACAGCTTTCAGCTTGGTATCACCAGTGAAAGGTTTCAGACATGTGCAGGGTTCATTCAGTGTAAGTTGATTCATGACCTTGGCCTTCCAGAAGCTGATTATCAATCTCTGTCATTCTGCTGACTTCCTAGAGTGATGTGGTACCTGTTGCTCAGAGAGTGTGCTCCAGATTTTGGAACACAGCCAGTAGCATGCAGATACATCTGTCTGCCATACAGAAGCGAGGTGCTAGGAGAAGCAGGAATCAATCCCTGGTTCTCAGACTCCCTGTAGGACTGTGGAATTCACAGGAGACTAGATGGCGGCCCATGAATTCACTAAGATGATGGCAGATGAGGGGGTGTTCGGAGTGACAGCCACTACCTGCTATTTGACAGAAGAACACACAGTCATTTTCTTGAGCTCTTAAAAGTTTCAGCATACAGTGTTATAGAAGCTTTGGCACTGAAACCAATTTGTATTCTTTTTAAATGATGAACCCTAGATACTTTTCATTCTATTGATGTTAAAATTAGGTCCACAGATTTACTAGTATTTGGGAGATATATCCACCCACTGAGGGTTCTGTTTGAACCATATCAGTTCATATAATTCATGTGGATTCAGTACACATGAGTTCAGAGTCCTTTGTAGCTGTTTAGCATGAGGTGCTAATTTCCAGTGACTCATATTGAGACATAACCTGGAACATTCAAGTTATTTGGGGATGTTTCTTGCATACATATTGTGTGTTTTAAAACATTATTCTAGGGGGATGTTATCTTTACCTGTTTCTTAAAACTAGATGTTACTCAGAAAAATTACGTTTATTCTTTTAGCATCCGCACTCTGTGAGCCACGAGGTCTGCTCTTGCTGTAGCCGTGTCTGCCCTTCATATCTAGATAATGAAAACAATCTTCTCTTTCTTAAGTCATTAGTTGTTCCCCATTTGTTTTTTCACCGTGATAGGGATGTAACCCAGCTCTTTGTGCATTGCTAGGCAGGATGTCTCCCACTGAGTTATATTCCTGGCCTATAAAACATTATTTAAGCATATTTTTTCTTCAGTGGAAGTATTTTTACAATATATTTCCAGAAAGTAAATCCAGGAAGTATTCCCAACCCATAGAGATTTGAGGTCACTTATCTGTAAAAGGAATGCTTCCTGATATTGAAATATGAATATAGAAAACTAATATTTAAAGCTTCCTGTTACATGGAGATAGTGGCTTCCTGTAAAACGGTCTTAGTCTTTAGATCTGTCTTTACTCCTGGGACCAACATATACATGTCTCATCCGGCGTAATCACAGGGTGACTTGGTTGCCCCTTGCCCACTTCTGACAAGTCATCTAAAATATCCTGATTAAACAGATAGTGCCTCTCTGTTTCTTCCCCAGGAGCCATGGCTGTCTGATTTACAGTTCTCCTGCTGAGCCATCCAGAGTAATTCTCTTTCTTTGACTTCCATGGGACGAAAAGACAATGCTTCTACCAACAAGGCCTCAGTGTAATATTACTGTGCCAGCATTAATGTCTAGCAAAGTGATTGGGTTTAAAGCTCCCATGGAATTTCTGACATATACTAATAAGTCTTGTTCTCCTCTGATTTTTAACTATTGGAGGACTTTTGTATTGTTTTGAACCACTGGTTTTTCAGTACTGCACCTGGGACACTTAGTAAACATGTTTGCCATGGAGCGTGTTTCTTCCATTTTCCCACTGTATTTTGATTTACTGTATTTTTCTCTCTGCCTATATTTCTTCCTACATCTGAAAATACCATTGCACTTATTGCAGTCATCTTCAAGAAATGGTTGTAAGGGGCTGGAGAGCTGGCCCCACAGTGAAAAGCACCAGCTGCTCTTGCAGAGGGCCCAGCTTTGCTTCCCAGAACCCCTTGGTAGCTCAAACCATCTGTACTCCAGGAAATCCATCACCCTCTCTGGCTTCTGCAGGCACCAGCCATAAACGTAGTACACATGCATACATGCAGGCAAACACTCACATACATAAAACAAAAAAATAAGCCTTTTTTAAAAATCACTTTATGTTAATAAAAATATTGATGGCAGAGGACACATTTGTAGACACGTAATTCACGTCAACTAATGACACAAGTCAGAGGCCATTCTGTTACTTGCGTTTTCCTGACCTTGGGACTTTAATAGTCGAGCTACATTGTAAGAACTGTAGACTTAAGAACACACTGATTGGACACACAGAGGAAACTAGCTTCTGACCCGCTTCTCCCTGCCTGACTACATAACATAGTGCAAAGGAGGTTGCAGCTCCCTGCAAGACTCCCAGAGCTTCCATCAAATGAGTCTCCGATATTGAGATACCTATCTGTTCACTGCAGAGGACACCTTAGACATCGGCTCTATGTAAACCTGAAGAGTCACTGTTCTTGCCCTGGCTTGAAGGAGACCT